AGTGTTTTTCGTGGAGGGTGAAGCTGCTCGTTGCCTGAGTAACTGGCGACCCGCGGTTTAGCACTGCGTCGTCCTGGAGTTTTTCTTAAAACTCTTAACTGTGATGGTATTATCATTACTTTATACTGTAAATCTACAAAATGCTGTAGGATATGATATGAAGCAGGCTGATGTTACATAAACTGAAAAATATTTTACCTGAGCTTCCCCCCCCAGGAGATTTTTTTTCCCTTTTTCTCTTTTTTTTTAATCCATTGATACGGTGTATTTAATGATCGCTTCCCCGCAGCACTGTAGGATCTTATCCAGTGCTAAGTTAGTGTTAAATGTCTTCTGTGCTCTACAGATCCCATCTCCAAGGTCCTGCAAACCTAATGGAGCCAACGAAGAAGCCCTGCGGTGTGAAATCGAAGAGCTGAAGCAGAAAGACCTTGCTCTAGACCAGGAAATTGCACAATTATTGTCTGAGTATGTCCTTGGCAAGCTCAGTGTTCACTGTGATGCCTCAATTATTCTTGTTTTTAAAAGTAAACGTGGTCCAGGAATTATTGCTATAAGCTAATCTATTATGCCATTTTTATCGTGGTGCTATACAATGTCTATTATAGTGGTGTTTTGACTTACGGGACCTGTTAAAGACAAGAGGGAATTCTTTCTGGTTTATTTGGTAAAGCAAACCAAGTTTTACTGAGATCTTGGATAAGAAGATTTTAACTTTACCCCAGAAATTGTTGAGATAATTACATGTAAATTGGGAATGAATAATTTTAACTATTGTGATAACATGTCATGTTACCAGAAGAGCTTGTTCATGTCAGAATTAAAATTGAGATCATGACTTGTATGACCTGCCAAATTTAGTCCCAGATAAAACTGTTTCCTTTTTTGTTCCATCTTGATGAATTGTTCACGTGTTTTGTGTCTGAGATGAGTGGGTTAAACCTTTGTGTTCAAGAAGCAGAACCGTTTTCCAGGCAAGCAAGTGGCCTGTAGAATAGTTTGGCATGGCAGGTGCTGCGTACAGGGTAATGCAACTGTTTTATTGTGGTTTCTTATGACACAATGTGGCAGGTGCTTATTAGCAAATGTTTTGAGATAAAATTGCTGCTTGATTTTTAAAGAGATGGAATCTCTGGATTATTTGTTGCAAAGGAGTGATATTTTCTAAGATAACATGTAGTGCATAGACTGGAAATGGTAGAACAACAAAGCTGCTTTTTTTTTTTTTTTTATCCTCAAGGATAAACAGACCTTCTTAATTTTTTTTCCCTAGCTACAGATTAGAGATACATATAAATTGAATTCACCACAGCCTATTCCTTTTTCTACTTGATTTTGAGAATTTGGGTGGATTGTTGGGGGGTTTTTTATAAGTCTTGATGTGGCAAAAAAACCCTCAAAATTGGGATCTGCTCATTTCTAGCTTTCATGTTTATCACTTGCAGCAGCTGTACTTGCTGCCTTCAGATTCTGCTTTAGATGTGCCAGGTTTGGGTATCACAAATATCCTTACTGTGTGCGGTTGCAAGTGGCAGCACCCACTATACAGCAGCAGCAATCCCACTGTGTCATTTTTGACCTTTCTGGTTTTATTGTTACAGAGGCTACAGCCTGGAGGAATTGGAGAAGCACATCTCTCTGCTCCATGAGTATAATGATATTAAAGATGCTGGACAGATGCTGCTAGGCAAGCTGGGTAAGGAAGGGGAAAGCTGTTGAAGAACTTTTTTAGTCAATGTTTTCCTACAGACAGAGAGAAGCTACTATGCTGTGAAGGCAGAGCTTGTTTTAGAGATTCTTCAGTTCTAGGATTGTTAGTTTGTACAAACACTGTTGTTGTTGTTTTCTTAGGATGTTTTTTAGAACTGAACATGTGAAATAATTGTCACTTACCAGTATTTTAGTCTGTGTTATGGATTACCAAAATTTGATAAGTCTTATGAATTTTTGTCAGTTTTGTTCTTCATGTGCTTAAAAAAAGTGTTGAGACAAGTGAGGAGCATAGCTACAAAACCTTAGATTAGTTTCTTAGCTATGGGAGGTTCTGTGGAATAGTTAGGGGCTACTGGGGGGAAAACACAACTTTTCTGACTGCTCTGATCTTTGTTTAATGCAAGCAATGGTATTTCTTTTCTAGCTGTTTTCCGAGGGGTTACTACAAAGCAGCTCTACCCTGAATACGATCTGGAGCTTAGCGACTAGTATTGAACCTGATGACTGCCACGTCCTGCAAAAATGACTGTTACTGGGCCTTTATGTTTTGGTGTCATATCGATTTAGAACTGACATAAGGTGGCCTCAGAAGTATGCATGCAGAATTGCAACAGAGTATGGGTTAACAGCCCTATTTCTAAGAAGCTTTGGAACATGAAAGTTGTTGAATTTGTCAACTGTTTCCTGCTTGTGGGAAAGGGATGTAGGACTTTGGATAATTTCATCTACTATCAGATCAACAGTATTTTTATTTCTTTTTGTTGGAAAGATTGTAATTCTGATTGATGTTAAGACTCTTCCAATGGAGCCTGTGCTTCTCTATAACGTCCAGGGGCTATGTGGATACTGAATGGATACAAGAAGTGAGGGCATACAAATGTGCAATGTAATAGCTGCTTTGAAAGAAAAGAAGAAACCCTCAGAAGTATGGAGGGAAGAAGGCTGAAGCTGTGGTGGTTTTGGGGTTTTGTTTTATGATCAAATCTGGATAAGTCTGGGTGTTCTGCATTTTTGTACTTGACTGCTCTGGTATCTAGAGGGTTTGTATCATTTCTGTAGTAAATAGCAAAATGTGAAGTTGTGTTTAACTGTCCAGTCTGAATAAAGCAGCTATCACATTTCTCAGTAATTCACTTTAAGAGTCTATAAAACATTGCATGAACCTGGGAACAAATTCTTAAACTATATTCTGAGACAATTACAACATCTATTATTCAAATGTTTTCTGAGGACTTGATGGAGGCAGCATGGCAGCACTACCCAGTAATGGGTAGGTGCAGAATTACCTTTACTCTCCTCTAAATGCAGAGTCACTGTGAAAGTGCGTGGTGTGCTAAACACAAAATCATGTTGAGAGCATAAATGTTTCAATGTCAGGATTGAGGGTGACTGCACAGACTAAATTTGGCTGCTTTGTGCGGTTCTAAGTGATAAAGCGCTCTGCTGACTGCAGATCCATTGTCCCTTTTTTCACTCAAGCTTGATGTCCTTCTGCCTGTTTCTACTTTGAATACCTTCCTGCCAGTAAGTTTTTCCCCCCGATCTCCAGTCAGGCGATGCTGCAGTCTGCTCATTATTTCCAAATTTCAATCAAATGAATCTGTCTTTGTAGTGCTTAGAAACCAGAACATGCTCACGAGGCTGCTGCTGAGAACAGGTAATTGTTGCTGTGCTCTTGGTTTTGGACCCGGAACAGAAATATCACTAATAAGTATCTTGTTTTGCCACAAAGGCTGTGAGGAGGGGTCTGAACAGGGGGATGGACAAAGCCCGTATCCTGTGATTCGTTCAAGTAAGTCTCTGCTAATGTACAGCTGTGCTTCTCTGGAGGGTATTTACTGGGGCCATGTGAGAATGGAGACTCGTGGGCATGGTTACAGGTATACCCTGCCCACCATAAACTGCTTTGTGCCAAGTGTGGAAAACTACTGTGTTTTGGAGTAATTTTAAGGGGAGGAAAAGTCACGAGGAGCCTAGAACCAGGAAATGCTAACTTTGTTCTCAAAGCCCACGTTGCTGTTTCGGCTGGCATGTTCTACATGAAAGAAGTGGTTTAGCCTGGAGTGTTCCAACCAAAATGTCCATCTGGCAATTGCACAAGTAACTGGAAATGTTTTTTGCAATGGGGAGTACGTACAGAAATTCCTTCAGTTTGCGTTAGGTGTAAGCCACGTGGAATGAAGTATACTTCATTACCAAAGTTATTGAAGGTAATTTAAGGACTGAGAAGACCATGTTTTCTTCACTTCCTTGCAGGAGCACTGGTATTAAAACTTGCAGCTGTAGCCCTGCAAGCGTTCTGCCCAGCTCCAGAACTCACGCTTCTGTGGTGACGGGTGTACGCTTCAGTTAGCACAAGGCAGTTGTCCGTGGAAGGTGCCCTGGTCCCAGTCCCTTGTCTACAGAGGATGAACGCATGCAGAACCAACTAGCTGAGGTAAGAGCAAATTGTCCTTGGGGAGTCCCTGCGGCTCCACAGCTGGCTCGGTAACATGCCACATGGTGGCAGCTACGCTCCACTGCTGCTCTGCCGCAGAGCCGGGAAACCCAGAACAACTGAAAGATTCCAGGGTCAAAGTTAATGACTCCTGGGATGCTTCAGGACAGGACTCTGCCACTAAGGTACTTCATCACAGCCCCTCTTATTGCTCCTCCCAGAGTTACTTCTTGTACCTTAACAGCTAGCTGGAAGATAAAATATGCTGGCCTTTGTCCAAATCCAGAAGAGGAATAGAACAAATCTCTTCTACCGATTTCTAGAAGTAAATCTCCAAACACTCTAAGTGTATAGTTAGAAAAATATTGAGTCCAATAATGGTAAGTGTAACTTCAGACTTTAAATTTAGAAAGGAGTATTTTTTGCCAAGTCAGATCAATCTATAATGAGCTTACAGAGCTGTCTGCATGGAGCTGCTGCAGAACAGATACCACAGACCCCATGAACGCCCTTTGTTTCTCAGAAGAGAAAAAAAACCCCACACAGCATGGTCTTTTTATTTTAATGAGTCAGTGTACTCACGGCTCAGCACTGAGCCAAGAACCATCCTCTTCCCCTTTAGGTCACTTTCTGTTTTATTTCTTATGCATCAGTCCCTATTACAAGCCACTTTCCTGATCACACACGCCTACTCTGGATATAACCATTTCCTTGCATTGCTCTGTGTAAGCTGTGTTTTCTCCTGCACATCCCTCTCTCAGTCTGATTTTGAGCTCTTATTTGTCTGAAAGCAGGGCTAATGGAAAGAAAATAGGACAACAGAGGGAAAATAAAATCCATATACTAGATAAGTTATGCTGCCAGTTGCAAGGAACAAACAAATCCGTGCAATCAAGGGAATACAGCTCTGTAAGAGGCTGTCTGTATTTCCTGCTGCTAAACAATTTGGGGATGGGTTTTTATATCCCTTAGCAACCTAATGTTCCTGAAGTCAACAGGAATTTTGGCACAGCTAACTCCTGTTAATGAACTGTTTGCGATGCTTTAAAAAAAAATTATACAGCCTGTCACTGAAAAAAATGCCTCTCTGATTAAAGTCATCTCAAGGAAAGGGTGGAAGTGAACTGCAATTAACCTCTTTCCTTCTGCTGTCCATCATGCTGTCAGCATGTAGCTGTGTTATTGTGCTACTGAGATTGCTTGTGGACGTTCCCTCCGTAGCACGCACTCAGCTGTCTGCAGCGTGGGCCATCTCCGCAGCCATCTTAGGAAGAAGACTTCTATCCTGATGGCCTAGTGTTTTCTCTAATTCTGTTTTCACTTTAAGCTGACAGTCCCAAATTGCTTTCTGTATACTCTGCAGGTTCCACTGTGTTCTCAGGAGTGCATCATCCAGTGTGAAAACGCCGTCACGTATTCTTCGCACTTGTGTGCACACAGCAGATGATTTCAGCTCCAGACCAATCTCATGAACTATTTTTCGGAGGTACTGCTGAGTCTCATGCAGGCAATGGATTTCTAGAAGGACAGAGAGATTCCGTCAGAGGAAGCAAAGCGTTGACACAAACTCAAACCTTGTCTGTAAATCTAGACATCACTCAGTTATGCTGAAAGAACCGGTTTGATAGAAGAGACTATTTAAGATACAGCACAGATGGATTATGATTTTCTGGTATGCTGCAGCGTGTCTTAGCACCTCCCAAAGTGAATGTTTTAGAAAACAAACCCATAGATACAGGAGAGTAACGTAAAAATGTAGTTATTTCAAAGGCGATAAGAAAAGGTACCATTTTAATAAGACAAATAATTTGTGAGGAGTAGGAGAAAAGGAAAGCAAACCACGCTTTAAAAAAAAACAAAACCCAAACCAACACTGAAATGCATTACACTGAAACACTGGGATAAGAAAGACTTTTGCCCCATAGATATTCATTATGCAAATTTTCTTGCCTCAGTCTTAGATCTGAAACTGGCAGGGAAAAATGTATGAGCTAGGCGTATAGCTGGCTTGATGTACTCTAGCTTCAGTACTGTGAGAGTTCCAGATCTAACCCTAGCAAAAAAAAAATCTTTCCACGGCACTAAAGAGTTCATGTAACAAGGAGATGCTTTTGTAACTTTGGAAATTACAAATCATTAAATTTTCTTCAGGGATTACCAATTACAATTGTGTTCATACAAAGTTCTCACCAACTCATTTAGCATTAAATTGCTAATAAGAAACTGAAGTTTACTGACTTATTTGCCATAATATATACACAAATTTCCCCAGAACATTTTGTACCAGACCTACCTAGCTGGAATTCTGGAAGTGCAAACTGGAGGCATCGGATCGCTGTGATTATTGGAGGGCTTTTTCCCATGGGGCGAATCAACCCTTTGACAGCCAGCTCGTATGCCTCTTGTGTTTTCATATCAATGTTAGAATACCTGGAAAAAGAAAAAAAAGGAGCAGAGCAGACACTTAGTACATCTCTTCAATGGAATTCAAAATATCTCCACCCCCAATAAAGCAGAGCTGCAATTTTTATTCTTAAAACTGTCTTTGCATACATTTTAATGCTATATACTGTCAGTAGCATAGCACAGTTTGGGAGGGAGGTACTTGGTCATGTCTACAAGATATTTTTGTAGGTCCTAATGTAGCGAATAGGTCCTAAAATAGCTGGAGATTTCCGGATACAAGAAGGACACTTAACTGCAACCTTTCACCAGAATTCAGACCACTCAGAGTAACTTTTCTCTGTTCCTGTCTAGCACTCCAACCTTTAAAGACTTTAGATTATGGCAAACAAAATCATCTCATTTGTTTTAAAGACCAGCAAACAGCAGTCGGATCAGGTCAGCTGCATTTCCCCACTGGATACGTACATCAGCAGGGCCTTATGATTTGTTCCTTGAATGACAGCGACAATCCGTTCCAGCTTCTCCCTTGTGATATGATCTGCAAATATTAAGGTAGAAAAAGTCTCAATTATCCATCCAGAAACCGGGAAGAGACAGCAGCCTGAAACGTGCCATCAGGGTATTACGGTCCCTTTGGCAGGCAGTCACATCAAAGTGGGCTGATGAGACCCGCCGAGAGGTGGCTTTAGCAGAGTCACTTCTGGCTGTACCCAGGTAACGCACAGAGCAGCACAGCACTGGACTACAAAGGGAAGAATGATTTTCCTTAATTGAGTTCAGAAACACCAGTTTCTCTTATCAGGCATTTGAAGAGTTTCAGTCAATGGAAGCTTCTAACTGCTATCTCTAGGTACGATTTATGGAGAGATCTGGGTCCCACCCAATCCAGTAGCAACCACTGTGATCAGGACTCGTACTGGCTTTCTATATATTGCAGTTGTATTTAGCACAGGGCTGCAATGTCAGGACTGCGCGTGGCTGTATGTACAAATAAAAACTAGAAAGTGTTTAAGGTATCCTTTTTATCTTTGTGCAATTTACCAGTGATTCACCAAAGGTGAAATGCTTTGCAGTTAAAATCCTATTTGTTTGGTGTCCTGTTGGGTTTTTTAATAAACACATCAATTAAGTTTCTTACCAAATGTTGTCTTCTCTACTAGATTCCCTGTGTCTGAGAAGTCATCAGTGGCTTTACCAAACAGCCCACCGACAGTGTAAACCTTGAAGAAGGGCAAAAGAGTGCAATTTGTCAAAGAAATACTCCAAACAATTGCATAGCAATATCCTGCCATGCAGTTGCTAGGAAGTGCAGGCTATGATAATATTGACAAGAAAACAGTAGCGTCCTCTGCTCGTACGGCCACGTGTGGATGCTCACGTGAAGGATGAAATTCTGGACCCGGAAAGTTCTCAAAAGCGTTGGTGGGTTTGAGACCCTAAAGCAGAATCGCCGTCGCAAGGACCATCCGGGGCAGGAATGAAGTGTGCCACTGCACTCGGATGTTCTGAGGCTGTTCAGAGCCATCACCTACCTTGGTCAGGTGGCAGTTGTACAGATGAGTGAGTAGCTTGTTCCCATGGCCTATACCAAGTACTGAAACACAGAAGACAGAGAACCCGTTATTCAGCCACATGGAAAGTTACTGATGTGCATTTACATCTTTGCACACTCACGCTACTTTTCTTCCCCCCTGGACAGGGCCGTATCTCCTTAGAAGTCATGTCTGAGCAATGCAATTAAACCCCCAAATTACTGCCTGTCATTAAAACTATAAGGCTGTAACTTGGATTTTCCCAAAGCTTTCCACCTGGGTACTTTGGGGCAAATGCTTAGCAATGCTGGCCGCAGTGAAGCCAACTCAAGTGATGGAACAGAGATGGAGGGTTACGCAGCACACCACTAACGGTGTCATGGGCAGAAGTTTGGTGTCTCACAGCAAAGCGCTGTGTGCTGGGGGTAAGGGATCGCTCCTGTGTCTTGCCATTGCCACTGTCTGGTTGGCTTGAGACCTGGGGGGTGCTGCCACGTAACAGATGAGCGTCCACTCCTTTACATGGAAACCCATCACCTCGCAGCCAGCGGGACGCGGTGCCGCTCCAAGATGAGACCCACCGAAGACTCCTGAGGC